GGTCAGTTTCTAGAAATTGAAAAGTGAGACAGTGGCAGGTCTGCCTGACATCACCTTACTGTTTAGACTTTGAGGTACTTTCAGATTTTCCCAGTAATGTAGTAGTTGGCTTTGTGGGAGACATGAAGAGTAGCCAGCAGAAAACTTGGCTGCACGGATTGAGGAGAGATGTGAATACACTGATGAGAGTTGTTCTGCTACAATGGAGAATACTGGCATGGAGACTTCTTTAGACAATACCAGGCTCAAAAGACATTCATGAGACATGTTTAGTTTCTCTGATACTAGCAGAAACCTGTGGAGGGCCAACATTAACTTGAGGAAGTTACTCAATTCTCCACTCCAAGAAGTGGTCCAAGATTCCAGTCTAAAAGAGAAGAGATGGCAGATATGATAAAACTACTCATGTTCTTGGAAGAGGTCGTGAGAATCTACACGTCCTAAGGGGTGTTTAAAAATCACACAGGCTACAGAACATGAAGCCCTGGTTAACTTTTACCCATTGTTGGGACTAACTGTCAAGGACTTGCCCTTCCCTACCCTCCATTCAGGCATCCATTTCAAAAGATCAGCAACTAAGCTGCAATGAAGCCAGTTGGAGAATAGCAAGCCCCTCCTAGATCCAGTATTCTTCCAAATTCACACTCTGTGCACAACACTGAACACCTCAATGGTCAAATAGTCTTGACTAAAATAGATAGGATTTGAATAATTAGCTGACACAAAAAAAGATGACCTTCACCTAGATTCAGCAAATGCTGGGTTTATGTCTTCTTTGGGGTGAAGGGAGTGTGGTAAGTGAGCGGAATCTTTGACTGAACTTGAATATGTATTAGGTCTCTGTTTTTAAAGACAGTATAGGTAAATATTATGTTAGTTAGTGAATAGAACTGTAACATTTGCCATAGACATGTAAGGACACATGTTATGTGGACCATCTTTTCCCTTCATTCCAGCCACAGGTGCAGTATATAATGAGGTTGCAGACTTTGTTGTAAGTTTCATTATCCTACATGATCAGAAGATAAAGCGTTCTCATGGTTGATAGAAGAGCACCTGGTTCTCAATAGCCTCACAAAGCTGCAGCAGTTTACTCATAGCTATAATGCTCTTAGGTGCTTTTGGAGCCAAGCCTATATATAAATATGTTGTTTCATTTTCCTTGTGTTTTCCTAAGGAGAAATGTTACCCTTTTGATATGAAAACATCATCCAGTATGTGTCACTGGGAGGAAAGTTTACCACATGCACTAGGGAAACTCAGGGTGGGGGTTATATCATGGTTCCAATAGTTATTTCATGGTTCCTGTTGGTGTTGGAGTCATCAACAGTAAATAGTTGACCTTTTCCCTTCATTATTTTGGACTGCTATTTTACATTATATCTGTCTACTTTTCCCTTAGAGCTGACAAAATGGTAACTGAATTTGACAAGTCTGGCTTGTAAGTAGATTTAGTATGTTTCAAAAACTAACTTCATTTTCATATAAATCCCAAAATATGTAAATCAATTCTATTAAGATTTTGAAAGCCTGCAACTGAGGAATCAACACAATATTAAAACTGGATTATTTGGACAAATCTTCCTACCATGCCTGTATAGAAATTAGAGATTAACAAGAATCACATTTCTGTGAGTTATATATGGAAAGTGTTGATTTATCAATGCCCAGTTGGCAACGTACTAGTGCAAACAACGATCACTAGCTCCCATGTATGCAGGAAGAGAAACATCCACTCACCCTGCCCTTGGTTCAGGACACTTGCCGAAGGGTGGTCTCTTACTTACAAATACAGAATTAGGCGTCAGAAAACCTGGAAGGAGGAGAAGGCAAAGTAGAGAATGGATATCAATGCAGGACCTGACCTTTGGTGATAGAGCAGCAAATGTGAAACTCTGTTTTACTTGGATGCACACTCTCAAGTGGACAGGACACATAGGATTGAAAGTGGTATGCTGAGTGTTAGAAGAGTTCACAGCAGATGCTTGGCTGACAGAACTCAAAGAAGTTAGCACAAAATACCCCCACAATTTATTCTGAGAACAAGAAACGAGCTGCCAAATTTGAGCTAGCAGTGGCTGCAGAAAATGAGGTATCAGGTTATGGATGATGGCACATGCTGTTTCTCAGGGATGTGGAGTGTGTTGTGGATTGTGGTTGACCCTATCAAGAGAGGAAACTGACCTTGGACACCAGTGAGTAAGAAACAACCCTGGTGTTTAAAGTTGAGTTTATCAAAATGTCTCATGGTCACATCCACTATATCTGCAGGACAAGGGACCAATTTGGAATTTTGCCAATAGAGCACATGTGGGGCTCAATCAGAGAAATCATGAATCTGGTCTGAGGGATCCAGGGGGCCTTGGGATTGAAATCAGTTTCCAAAGCCTTAGGATCAGCTATATTCTTAGCCTGGATTGTGATTACGGATTGGTATGAGGTGGAGGATGTGGGACAGCTCTGTGGTTGCCTTCATGGTCAAAAGCTACAAGGATGAGAGAACAAATAATAGTTTTCTAGGTGCACAGCATGAGAAGATGAAGCATTTCCTTCACCATTGTCTCCCAAATGCAGATGCTACATTTTGGATTACACTGACATGGTATGGCACCGAGGACAACTAGGTGGTTCTGCTTGATAATGCTAGCAGGTCCTGATGCATGTCATCCTTAGATATGTTTCCACAGGTTTTTCTGCAGAGAGAGAAGCTCTGGGAACAACTGGTAACATTGGGATATTCCCATGGAAATAGAAAGGAAAAGTGCACTGTCAAGATGCTCTTCTGGAAACACTCCAAAATGACATAAAACTGCCTGCAGAGCTGAAACTTTTAGATGCTTCATTTCCACAAGAGGATGTGTCATGTTAAAATTCAGAAATGTGACATAAGTGTAATAAAAATGAGGTTATAAAAAAACACGAGGGTATGGTATGTTCATCACAACAAAAGCATCATAAGCAATTAAAGATATACAAGACAACACACAGAGGAAACTGACATGGCATCAATGTCTAGGAAAAATTGTCCTCACAGAAATATCATGGAATTGTGTACATCCAAGAGACTATAATTTTCACTTCATGAAGCAGTAGAAATCTACATTAGATACCTGATAGTACTTGACCAGTAGAGATAAAGAAGTATAGTAAAAGAAACAGGAAGTACCATTCTCAGTTCCAAAGACATTGAAGGCCAACTAAATAGCTTTCAAATAAATAGATTGCAAAACACTACCAGAGCAATTATTGAAAATGGTGGTGAGAGAAATAATAAAGTAAAACAGTGTCTCAGAATCACAAAAGGCAGAATATCAGAAAAAGGGAAGAGAACTTCTAGGACGAGCTAAATAAAATCAGAAAACTCAATGGATGAGATAATAGCAGGGTTAATTCAGTCCTAAGCAGACTAGATAATGCATAGGGACTCGTGAATGTCTGTGAACACTGGAGAACAGAAATACCGCTATCAGAAGATGACATAGAAAAGCAAGTGAAAACCAATGAAAATATTGCTGTTGAATCCTGGGGTAAGATAAAGCATGAAAGACTACGATTCATAAGTGTCTCAGAGGGAAAAGCATGATATAAAAAAAATCTGAAAAGATATTAGTAGAAAAAACAGAGTGAAACTTGCTGAAAGCCAAGAAACAATCATCTATATGAAACCAGGAGCAAACAGCATCCAAATTATGTGGAATCCCAATAGACCTACAAGCAGCGGTATTATCATTCAAGTCATTAAAGTTCATGATCAACCCAGTGATTTTTAATACACCTAGAGGAAAGCAACTTAGACACAACAGAAACTCCAGAGGGGTTTCAGCTGATATTTCAACAGAAATACTTCAGGACAGGAAGGAGTGCCAGGACATAGACCAAATCCTGAATGAGAAAGAGCTGCAATCTAGGGTAGCGTATGCCACAAGCCCGCCATTTCTAATAACGGCAGAGCTAGACAATTTCACAGATTGGCAAAACTTAAAAGAATTCAGCAGTTTGAAACTTATCCTAATAGAAAGATTGAGAATTCTACCCTGAATAGGAAAGTAGCAACAAGTAACAGAAATAAGAAAACCATCATTGGAAATGCAGGAAGAGCAATGAGTTTCAGAGAATAGAAAAGAAGTGTTTAAGGAGGACATCAAAACCCTAAAGATGGGAGAGGGAAGCAGGAAAACAAAGGTGATTTTCAGCACTATACTTAGTGAATTAGATTATATGACTCTGTATTTGAAGAAAACAGAGAGATGCATTGACTAATGTGTTTGCAAAACAAAGAACAAGCAAAGAAACAAAAAATCAAACAAACAAACAAACACCAAAGAGTATGGTAGGCTGAAATATATCCAAAGGAACAATGATAATTCAAAAGAAAATACTCAAAGGGATGTCAAGGAACAATCAGCATGCATCAACTCAGTATCGCTACTTGCATATACACAGCACACTTGTATTCAGAAAACAGATGCGTACAATAATATTCATAAGTATTGATTCATAAGACCAAATCGTGACCTAACCCAAAAGCCTATTTTGAGTAAAGTATATTCATATTCCATGATATATATTTACTAGTCTTCCAAAAATATGAATGAATGGCCTATTCAACCCCACGTAGAGAATAAATGGCATACTCCTATAACAAAGACAATTAGCTCTACCAAACTTTACTAAGAGCAAAAGAGACAGACAGTAAAGTGTACATTGGGATTGGCTTCATTTCTAGGAATTTCAGCACCCATGAAAAAACTTGATCCATGTTCTGAAAGTGTGGGTGTTTCAGCAGAAAAGAAACAGTCGGATATGTATTCTGGGTGAATGGGTATTACACAAACATAAGATTCCTATAGTGAGGTCTTTGTGTACTGTTAACTGTTAGAAAGTTTAAAGACATGTGTAACCATAAACTTAATATTGACACACTTCCATCTGTTTGTACTGAGTATAGAGATCTGAACTAAAGGAAAGAGGTTAGGAAAAAAAGGACCATGGGATGCTAATGGAGTGAATCACTTTTAAATTAGGATCCTCTAGTCTGATGCAGCCCCTCCCCCAACACTGTCAAGATGCAGCAACCATTGGTGATGGCAATTACAAGTTGGATTCCAGGTGGAACGTTGGTGTGTGCTGAAAGGCTTGTTGTGGCTGATGGATCCAAGGTAACTGGGCAGAGCTCTGTGGGTGGATCAGTGTCATGGTGGGGCTGCAGCCCTCTGTGGAGTTTGGTTTAGTTCTACTGTTCGGGAAGCTGTGTAAGTTCGAGATACGGCTGCTGCCCAATGGCCTGAGATCACGGGTCAGTTTCAAGAAAATGAAAATCAGACATGGGAAGATCTGCCCATCATCAGCATACTGGTGAGGCTCCGAGGTACTTTCAGACCTGCCCAGAAGTGCAGAAGTCGACTGTATGGGCGACACGAAGAGAAGCCAGCAGAAAAGCTGGCTGCACAGATTGAGGAGAGATGCGAACACATTGATGAGAGTTGTTCTACTACAATGGAGAATATTGGCATGGAGAATTCGTTAGAGAACACCAGGCTTGAAAGACATTCATGAGACATGTTGAGCCTCGTTGATACTAGCAGAAAGCTGTGGAGGGTAAACGTGAACTTGAGGAAGGTACTCAATTCTCTGCTCCAAGAAGTGGTCCAAGATTACTGACGTCTAAAAGACAAGAGATGGCAGAGATGATAAAACCACTCATGTTCTTGGAAGAGGTCATGAGAATCCACACGTCTCAAGGGGCATTTAAAAATCACACAGACCACAGAGCACGAAGCCCGGGTAGATTTAACCCGGGGTTGGGCCTAACTATCAAGCACTCGCTGTTCCCTCCCCTCCACTCAGGCATCCATTTGAAAGGATCAGCACTTGAGCTGCAATGAAGCCAGTAGGAGAAAAGCAAGCCCCTCCTAGAACCAGTGTTCCTCCTAACTTCACACTCTGTGCACAACACTGAACTCCTCAATGGTCAAATACTCTCGTCTATAATAGATAGGAATGTAGTACTTAGCTCCCACAAGGAAATGATGACCTTCCCCTAGATTCAGCAAATGCTATGGTTACGTCTTCTTTTGGGTGAATTGAGTGTGGTAAGTGAGGGGAATATATGACTGAACTTGTATATGTATTAGGCCTCAGATTGTCAAGACAGTATAGGTAACTATTATAAGTCAGTTAGTGAAGTGAACTGTAAAAGTCGCCATAGACATGTAAGGACACATGTTATGTGGACTGACTTTTCCCTTCATTCAAGTATATCATGTGGGTTCAGACTTTGCTGGGTTAAACTGCTTTACCCAACATGATCGGATGATTAAGTGTTCTCATGGTTGATAGAAGAGCAACTGGTTGTCAATAGCCTAGCAAAACTGAAGCAGATTTCTCAAAGCTATAATGCCTCTAGGTGCTTTTGGAACCAAGAATAAATATAAATAGCTTGTTTCGGTTTCCTTGGGTTTTCCAAGACAGAAATGTTACCCCTTGAAATGACAACATTGGCCAGTATGTGTCATTGGGAAGAAAAAGCACCACATGCACAAGGGAAACCCAGGGTGAGGTTACTTCATGGTTCCAATAGTTATTTCATTGTTCCTGTTGGTGTGGTAAGTATCACCAGTAAAGTGTTGACCTGTCCTCTTTATCATTTTGGACTGTTATTTCACATTCTATCTGTCTACTTTTTCCTTAGACCTGAATAATGTTAACAAAATTGACAAGTCTGTCTTCTTTGTATATTTAGTATGTTTTAAAAACTAACTTCATTTTCATATAAATCCCAAAATATGTAAATTAATTGTATTAAGCTTTGGAAGACTACAACTGAGGTATCAACACAATGTCAAAATTGGAATCTTCGGACAAACCCTCCCACCATGGCTGTATAGAAAAAAGAGATAAACAAGAATCATATTACTGTGAGTTATATATGGAAAGTGTTGATTTATTGATGCCCAGTTGGCAGGGTACCAGTGCAACCTACACTTACTTGCTCCCATGTACACAGCAAGAGAAACAACCACTCACCTAGCCCTTGGTTCAGGATACTTCCCAAAGAGTGGTCCCTTACTTCCAAATACAGAATGAGGCATCAGAAAACCTGGAGGCAGGAGAAGGCAAAGTAGATAATGGAAATCAGTGCAGGACCTGACCTCTGGTGATGAAGCAGCAAAGGTGAAACTCTGTTTATCTTGGATGCACACTCTCAAGCAGAGAGGACACATGGAATTGAAAGTGATGCGCTGATTGTTAGAAGAGTGCACAGCAGATGCTTGGCTGACAGAACTCAAAGAAACCAGCACAAAATATCCCCACAATTAATTCTGAGAACAAGAACCGAGCTGCCAAATTTGAGCTAGCAGTGGCTACAGAAAATGAGGCTATGGATGATGGCACACACTGTGTCTCACGGTTCTGGAGTGAGTTGTGGATTGTGGTTGGCCCTACCAAGAGAGGATACTGAGCTTGAACCCCAGTGAGAAAGCAACAACCCTGGGGCACAAAGTAGAGTTTATCAAAATGTCCCATTGCTGTATCCACTGCATCTGCAAGCCCAGGGACCAATTTGGCATTTTGCCAATAGAGCACATCTGGGGCTCAATCAGAGAAATCATGCATCTGGTCTGAGGGATCCAGAGGGCCTTGGGGCTTAAATCAGTTTCCAAAGCCTTAGGATCAGCTAAATTCCTAGCCTGGACTGGGATTACAGACTGGTATGAGGTGGAGGATGCAGGAGAGCTCTGTGGTTGCCTTCGTGGTCCCAAGCCACAGGGATGAGAGAACAAAGAATAGCGGTCTAAGTCCGTAGCGTGAGAAGATGAAGCATTTCTTTCTGCATTATATCCCAAATGCAGATGCTGCATTTTGGATGGTACAGACATGGTATGGCACTGAGGACATGTAAGTGGTTCTGCGCAATAATGGCAGCAGGCCCAGATGCATGAAATTCTTAGATATGTTTCCACAGCTTTTTCTGTTGACAGAGAAGCTCTGGGAAGAACTGGGCACATTGGGACATTCACATGGAAATAGAAAGATCAAGTGCACTGTCAATATGCTGTTTTGAAAACACTCCAAAATGACATAAAACTGTCTGCAGAGCTGAAATTTATAGATGCTTCATTTCCACAAGAAGAATGGTCATGCCCACTTTCAGAAAAGTGACATAAGCGTATTAAAAAGAGAATTATTCTAAATGATGAGAGTATGGTGTGTTCATCACAAAAAGGCATCACCAGCATTTAGAGTTATACCAGACAACCCACACACATAAATGACATGGCATCAATGTGTAGAAAATATTGTCCTCACAGAAATATTATGGAATTGCATACACACAAGAGACTAAAAGTTTCACTTAACAAAGCCCTACAAGTCTACTTTAGATACCTGATACTACTTGACCAGTAGATATAAAGAAGTATAGTAAAAGAAACAGGAAGTACCATTCTCACTTCCCAAGAGATTGAAGGCCCTAAGTAAAGCTTTCAAACAACTAGATTGAGAAACACTACCAGAGCAATTATTGAAAACTTAAGTGAGAGAAAAAGTAAAGAAAAACATGTCCATCAACAGATGACTGGATAAAGAAGATGTGGTATATTTATACAATGGAATACTATACAGCCATAAAACCAGACAACATAATGCCATTTGCAGCAACATGGATGCTCCTGGAGAATGTCATTCTAAGTGAAGTAAGCCAGAAAGAGAAAGAAAAATACCATATGAGGTCAATCATATGTGGAATCTAAAAAACAAAAACAAAAACAAACAAACAAAAAGAAAGCATAAATACAGGACAGAAATAGATGCACAGAAAGAGAATACAGACTTGTGAATACCAGGGGAGTGGAGGGTGTGAAGGGATAGGCTGGGATTTTAAAATTGTAGAATAGATAAACAAGATTACACTGTATAGCACAGGGAAATATACACAAAATGTTATAATAACTCACAGAGAAAAAAGTGAGAATGAGTGTGTATATGTACATGAAAGACTGAAAAATTGTGCTGAACACTGGAATTTGACACAACATTGTAAAATGATTATAAATCAATAAAAAATGTTAAAAAAGTGTCTCAGAATCACAAAATGCATAGTATCAGAAAAGGGGAAGAGAACCTCTAAGATGAGCCAGATAAAATAAGAAAACTCAATGGATGAGATAATAGCAGGGCAAAAGTCAGTCCTAAGCAAACTAGATAATGAAGAGGGACTCGTGAATATCTGTGAACACAGAGGAACAGAAATCCCTCTATCAGAAGATAACATAGAAAAGCAAGTGAAAACGATTGCAAATATTGCTGTTGAATCCTGGGGTAAGACAAAGCATGAAAGACTAGGATTCATAAGAGTCCCAGAGGGAAAAGCTAGATATAAAGAAAAAAAACTCTGAAAAGATATTAGTAGAAAAATCAGACTGAAACTTGCTGAAATCCAAGAAACAATCCTCTATACGAAACTAGGGGCAAACAGCATCCAAATTATGTGGTATCACAATAGACCTACAAGCAGCTGTATTATCTTTCAAATCATCAAAGTTCATGATCAACCCAGTGATTTTAAATGTACCTAAAGAAAGCAACTTAGTCAGAACAGAACCTCCAGAGGGGTTTCAACTGATACATCGACAGAAATTTTGCAGGACAGGAAGGAGTGCCAGGACATAGACCAAATCCTGGATCAGAAAAAGGTGCCATCTAGGGTAGCCTATGCCACAAGTCTTCCATTTCTGATAACGGCAGAGATAGACAATTTCACAGACTGGCAAAATGTAAAAGAAGCCTGCAGTTCAAAACTTATCATAAAACAAAGATTGAGAATTCTACCCTGAATAGAAAAGTAACAAGATGAAATGGAAATAAGAAAACCATCTTTGGAAATGAAAGAAGAGCAGTGAGTTGCAGAGAATAAACAAGAAGAAGGCAAGGAGGACAGCAAAACCCTAATGATGGGAGAGGGAAGCAGGAAGACATAGGTGATTTTCAGCACTATACTAAGTTAATCAGCTTATATGACCCTCTGAAGCAAACGGAGAGGTGCATGGACTAATGTGTTTGCAAAACAAAGAACAAGCAAACAAACAAACAATCAAACAAACAAACAAACACCAAAGAGTACGTTTGGCTGACATATATCCAAAGGAACCATGATAATTCTAAAGAAAATACTCAAACGAATAACAAGTATCATTCAGCACACATCAACCCAGTATCACTGCTTGCATGTACTCAACACACTCTTATTCAGAATACAGATGTATGCAATAATTTTCAAATATATTGATTCATAACAGCACATCATGACCTAACCCAAATGCCTATTTTGAATAAAATCAATTAGTATTCTATAATATGGATTTACTAGTCTTCCAGCAGGATGAATGAATGGCGTATTCAACCCTACATAGAATATAGTTGGCATACGCTTATAACAAAATAATTAGCTCTACAAAACTGTAGTAAGAGCAAAAGAGACAGACAGTAAAGTGTACATTGGGATTGGCTTCATTTCTAGGAATTTCAGCCTCCATGAAACTAGTGGATCCATGCACTGAGAGTGTGGGTGTTTCAACCAAAAAGTAACAGATGGATATGTATTCTGGGTGAATGGATATTGCACAAACATAAAGTTCCTATAGTGAGGTCTTTGTTTACTGTTAAGTGTTAGAAAGTTTAAAGACGTTTGGAACCATAAACTTAACATGGACAAAATTCCCTCTCTTTGTACTGTGTATCGAGATCTGAACTAAAGGAAAGAGGGTAGGAAAAAAAGACCATGGGATGCTAATGGAGAGAATCACTATTACCTTAGGAACCTCTCTTCTGATTCAGTCCCTCCCCCATCACTGATAAGATGCAGCAACCATTGGGGATGGCAGTTACCGGTTGGATTCCAGGTAGAATGTTGGTGTGTTCTGTAAGGCTTGTGGCTGGTGGATCCAAGGTAACTGGGCAGAGCTCTGTGGGTGGATCAGTGTCATGAAGGGTCTTTCGACATCTGTGGAGCTTGGATTATGTGTCTTGTTCAGGAAGCTTAGTAAGTTCAAGATACTGCTGCTGCCAAATGGGCTGAGTTCACTAGTCAGTTTCCAGATCTGACAAGGCAGACAGTGGAAGATATTCCTGTCATCAGCTTACCACTGTGGTTCCGAGATACTTTCAGGCTTGCCCATTACTGTAGAATTCGACTAATGAGAGACACGAAGACAGGCTTAAGAAAAGCTGGGTGCACGGATTGAGGAAATTTATGAACACATTGATGAGCGTTGTTCAGCTACAATAGAGAATACTGGCATGGAGGGATTTGTAGAGAATATCAGGCTCAAAAGATATTCATGGGACATTTTGAGCTCTGCTGAAACTGACAGAAACCTGTGGAGGATCAACATGCACTTGATGAAGGTTCTCAATTCTCTGCTTCTAGAACTGGTCCAAAATTCCTGCAGTCTGAAACAGAAGAAATGGCAGAGATTATTAAAGTTCTCATCTTCTTGTAGGAGGTCGAGAGAATCCACAAGTCCTAAGGGGCATGTACAAACCAGTCAGACCATCAAGCAGCAAGCCCTTGTAAGCCTTTTCCCAGGGTTGGGCCTAGCTCTCAAGCACTTGCTCTCCCATCCCCTCCACTCAGCCATCCACTCCAACGGATCAGCACCTGAGATGCAATCAAACCAATAGGAGCACAGAAAGCCCCTCCTTGTATCAGTGTTCCAACCCTTTAACATCCTGTGCACAACAGTGAATTTCTCCATGGTCAACTACTCTCGACTAAAATAGATTGGAATTGAATTCTTAGCTCACACCACGAAATGATGATCTTCACCTAGATCCAGCAAATACTGGGGTTATGTCTTCTTTGGGGAGAAGGGGGCGTGGTAAGTGAGGGGAATCTTTGACTGAACTTGAATATGTTTTAGGCCTTAGTTTTTCAAGACAGTATAGGTAAGAATTATAAGTCAGTTATTGAACTGAATTGCAAAATTCGCCATAGACACGGAAGGACACTTGTTTTGTGGACCATCTTTTCCCTTCAGTGAAGTCCCGGGAGCAGGATATCATGGGGGTGCAGACTTGGTTGGTTTAAATTGCTTTACCCAACATGATGGGATGATTAAATAATCTCATCTTTGATAGAATTGCACCTGGTTCTCAATAGACTAGCAAACCTGAAGCAGTGTTCTCATAGCTATAATTCCCCTAGGTCCTATTGGAATCAAGCCTACATGTAAATATGTTGGTTGTTTCAACCTGTTTTTTTTCTAGAGAGGAATGTTGCACCAGGAATTGCCATCATTGTCCATTATGTGTCATTGAGATGAAAGGGCGCCACATGCATAAGGGAAACATAGGGTGGGGGATATTTCATGGTTCCAATAGTTATTTCATGGTTCCTGTTGGTGTTGGAAGCCTCAACAGTAAAGTGTTGACCTGTCACCTTAGTCACTTTGCGCTGCAGTTTTACATTCTTTTTGTCTATTTTTTATTTAGAGCTGAAAAACTGGTACCTGAACTTGACAAGTCTGGCTTGTAGCTAGATTTAGTATGATTTTAAATTAACTTCATTTTCATACAAATCCCAAAATATGTAAGTCAATTCCATTATACATTTGTAAGACTGCAACTGAGGTAAGAACATAATGTCAAATTTGATTCTCCTGACTAACTCTCCCAGCATGGCTGTACAGATAAAAGAGCTAAACAAGAATCACATTTCTGTGAGTTAAGTCTGGATAATGTTGATTTATCAATGCTCATTTGGCAGAGAACAAGTGCAATCATCGTTTTCTCACCCCCATGTACACAGCAAGTTAAACATCCACTGAACCGCCCTTGGATCTGGACACTTGTAGAAGAATGATCTCTTACTTCCAAAGACATAAAGAGGCCTCAGAAAACCTGGAAGGAGGAGAAGGCAAATTAGGGAATGGAAGTCAGTACAGGACATGACCTCTGGTGATGGAGCAACAAAGGTGAAATTCTGTTTTAGTTGGATGCACACTCTCAGGCCGACAGGACACATGGCTTTGAAAGCAATGCACTGAGTGTTACAAGAGAGCACAGCAGCTTCTTGGCTGACAGAACTGAAAGAAATCAGCACAAAATTTCCGCACAAATTATTCCAAGACCAAGATCCATGCTACAAAATTTGAGCTAGCAGAGGCTGCAGAAGATGAGGGATAGGGCTATGGATGATGGCACACACTGAATCTCAGGGATCTGGAGGGTGTTGTGGATTGTGGTTGGTCCTGTGAAGACAGCAAAATGGCCTGGGACACCAATGAGAAAGCAACCACATTGGTGTGGAAGTTTCAGTTTTTCAAAATGTCTCATGACCACACACAATGCTTCTGCAGGCCCAGGGACCAATTTGGCATTTTGTCAATAGAGCACATGTGGGGTTCTATCAGAGATATTGTGATTCTGTTTTGAGGGATCCAGGGGGCGTGGGTTTGAAATCAGAATCCAAAACCTTAGGATCTGCCTCAGTCTTAGGCAGGACAGTATTAGCTTTTGCTATGAGGCAGAAGATGCAGGTCATCTCTGTGGTTGCCTTCGTGGTCCCAAGCCACAAGGATAAGAGAGCAAAGAAGAGTGGTCTAGGTCCGCAGCATGAGAAGATGAAGCATTTCCTTCACCGTTATCACCCAAGTGCAGATGCTACATTTTTAATGGCACTGACATGTTACAACACCAAGGACAACTAGGTGGGGCTGCGTGATAACTGCAGCAGGCCATGATGCATGACATCCTTAGATATGTTTCCAGAAGTATTTCTGTAGACAGGGAAGATCTGGGAAGAACTTGTAACATTCGGACTTTCACATGGAGATAGAAAGGACAAGCGCACTGTCAATATGCTGTTTTGAAAAGACTTCAAAATGACATACAGCAGCCTACAGAGCTGAAAACATTTACATGCTCCATTCCACAAGAGGAAGAGTCCTGTGTACTTTCAGAAAAGTGACATAAGCGTAATAAAAAGGAGATTATTCTAAACGATGAGAGTATGGTGGGTTAATCACAACAAGGGCAACACCAGCAATTAGAGAATTACCAGACAACACACATAGGAAAACTACATGGCTTCAATTTCTTGGAAAAATGTTCCTCACAGTAATATCATGGAATTGCATACACCCAAGAGACTAAAACTGTCAGTTAACCAAGCCCTAAAAGTCTACATTAGATACCTGATAGTACTGACCAGTACAGATAAAGAAGAATAGTAAAAAGAAGCAGGAAGTACCAGTCTCAGTTCCAAAGTGATTGAAGGCCCAAAAAAAAGCTTCCAAGCAACTAGATGGCGAAACATTATCAGAGCAATGATTGAAAACGGAGGTGAGAGAAACACTGAAGGTCAACAGTGTCTCAGAATCACAAAAGGAACAATACAAGAAAAGGGGAAGAGAAACTTTTAGACGAGCCAAATAAAATTAGAAAACTCAATGTATGAGATAATACCAGCGCTAAAGTCAGTACTAAGCAGACTAGATAATACAGAGGGACTCATGAATATTTGCGAACAGAGGGGAACAGAAATCCCTTGATCAGAAGATGTCATAGAAAAGCAAGTGAAAATCAATGCAAATATTGCTTTTGAATCCTGGGGTAAGACAAAACATGAAAGATTAGGATTCATAAGGGTCCCAGAGGGGAAAGCTAGATATAAAAAAAAATTATGAAAAGGTATTTGGAGAAAAATCAGACTGAAATTTGCTGAAAACGAAGAAACAATCATCTAAACGAAACCAGGAGCAAACAGAATCCAAATTATGTGGAACCCCAATAGACATACAAGCAGCTGTATTATCATTCAAATCTTCAAAGTTCATTATCAACCCAGTGATTTTCACTGTACCTTGCGGAAAGCAACTTATTAACAACAGAACCTCCAGAGGGGTTTCAGCTGACACCGTGACAGAAATTTTGCAGGACAGGAAGGAGTGCCAGGACATAGACCAAATCCTGAATGAGAAAAAGCTGCAATCTATGGTAGCCTATGCCACAAGAGTGCCATTTCTGATAACGGCAGATCTAGACAATTTCACAGACCGGCAAAATGTAAAAGAAATCAGCAATTCAAAACTTATCTTAAAAAAAGATTGAGAATTCTACCCTGAATAGAAAAGCAGCAGGATGAAATGGAAATAAGAAAAACATCATTGGAAATGCAAGCAGAGCAATGAGTTGCAGAGAATAAACAAGAAGAAGGCAAGGAGGACAGCAAAATCCTAAAGATGGGAGAGGGAAGCAGGAAAACATTAGTGATTTTCAACACTTTACTTAGTGAAACAGCTTATATGACTCTCTGTTTGATGCAAACGTAGAGATGCATGGCCTAATGTGTTTGCAAATCAAACAAGCAAAGAAACAAAAAATAAAACAAACAAACGAACACCAAAGGGTATGGTTGGCTGACATATATCCAAAGGAACCATGAAAATTCAAAAGAAAATACTCAAAGTGGTGTCAAGAATCTTTCAGCACACATCGACTCAGTATAGCTGCTTGCATGTACTCAACACACATGTATTCAGAAAACAGTTGCGTGCAATAATATACAAAAATATTGAATCAAAAGATCATATCGTGACCTAGACCAAATGATGATTTTTAATAATATGGTTTCATAGCCTGTGATATAGGCTTACAAGTCTTCCACCAGGATGAATGAATGCCATAATATACCCTACATAGAAAAGAAATGGCATAAACCTATAACAAAGACAAGTAGCTCTGGATAACAGTACCAAGAGCAAAAGAGACAGACAGTAAAGTGCACATTGAGATTGGTTTCATTTCTAGGAATTTCAGCCCCCATGAAACAAATGAATCCATGTTCTGAGAGTGTCGGTGTTTCAATAGAAAGCAACAGAAGGATATGTGTTCTGGGTGAATGGATATTACACAAATATAAGATTATTTTTATGGGTTTATGTGTCCAGTGAACTTTTGGAAAGATTAAAGACGTGTGAAACCATAAACTAAAAATGGACACACTTCCCTCCGTTTGTACTGTGCATACAGGTCTGAACAAAAGAAAAGAGGGAAGAAAAAAGGACCATAGTACCCTAGTGGATAGAATCACATTTAACTTAGGAACCTTTAGTCTGATGCAGCCACTCCACCAACACAGACATCATGCAGCATCCATTGTAGATGAATGTTACATGTTGGTATCCAGGTGGAAAGATGATGTGTACCGTGAGGCTTGTTGTGGCTGGTGGATCCAAGGTAACAGGGGCAGAATTCTGTGGGTGAATCAGTGTGATGGAGGGGCTGCTGCCCTCTGTGGAGCTTGGCTTAGGTCTTTGGTTTCGGTAGCCGTGTAAGTTCGAGATAATGTTGCTGCTGAAAGACCTGAGTTCACTGGTCACTTTCCAGAACCTGAAAGAGCAGACAGCGGAAGATCTGCCTGTCATTAGCTTACTGGTGAGGCTCCGAGGTACTTTCAGGATTGCCCAGTCCTGTGGAAGTCGACTTTATGGGAGACACGAAGAGAAGCTGGCAGAAGAGCTGGCAGCACGGATTGAGGACAGATGCGAACACATTGATGAGCGTTGATCTGTTACAATGGAGAATACTGGCATGCAGACATCTGTAGAGATTACGAGGCTCAAAAGACATTCATGAGACATATTGAACCTCGCTGATACTGGCAGAAACTTACGGAGTGTCAACGTGAACTTGAGGTGGTTACTAAATTCTCTCCTCCAAGAACAGATCCAAGATTCCTGACGTCTAAAAGAAAAGAGATGGCAGAGATGATAAAAGCGCTCATGTTCTTGGAAGAGGTTGTGAGAATCCACACATCCCAAGGGGCATTTACAAACATTTCGGACCATAATGCACCAAGACCAGGTAAGTATTTTCCCAGGTATGTGCCTAGCTATCACGCACTTGCTCTTCTCTCCCCTCCACTAAGGCATCCACTTTAATGGATCAGTACCTGAGCTGCATTGAAGCCAGTAGGAGAAGCATAAGACCCTCCTAGAATCAGAGATCCTCCACATTCACACTCTGTGAACAACAGTGATCTCCTTAAAGATCAAATAGTCTCGATTAAAATAGGTAGGAATTGAATACTTAGCTCACACAAAGAATTGATGACCTTCCCCTAAATTCAGCAAATGCTGGGGTTATGTCTCCTTTGGGATGAAGAGATAGTGGTGAGTGAGGGGAATCTTTGACTGAACTTGAATATGTATTAGGCCTCAGTTTTTCAAGACTGTATAGGGAAATATAATAAGTCAGATAGTGAACTGAACTGTAAAATTCACCAAAGTCATTGAAGACACAGCTTATATTGCCCGTCTTTCACTTCAGTCAAACCCAGGGGGCACTATGTCATGGGGGTGCCATCTTGGATGTGTTCAATTGATTTACACAACATGATCAGATGATTAAGCGTTCTCATCACTGATAGAATAACACGTGGTTCTCAATAGAATAGCATAGCTGAAGGAGGTTTCTCATAGCTATAATGCCTCTAGGTGCTTCTGGAATCAAGCCTAAATGTATATATTTTCTTTGGTTTCTCTTGTATTTTCCTAGAGAGGAACCTTACCCCTTAAAATGCCTACATTGGCCAGTAGGTGTCATTGGGAGTAAAGGGCACCACATGCACAAGGGAAACCCAGGTTGGGGGTTATTTCATGGTTCCTATAAGTATTTCATTGTTCCTGTTTGTTTTGGAGGCTTCAACAGTAAAGGGTTTACATGTCCCCTTCAAAATTTTGGAGAGATATTTTACATTCTATCTGTCTATTTTTCCCTTTGAGCTGAAAAATTTTACAAAAATTGACAAGTCTGGCTTCTAGGTAGATTTATTTTGTTTCAAAATCTAACTTCATTTTCATATAAATCCCAAAATATCTAAATCAATTCTATTAACCTTTTTAAAGACTGCAACTGAGTTATCAACACAATGTCAAAACTGGAGTCTTCGGACAAACCCTCCCACCATGGCTGTATAGAAAAAGAGCTAAACAAAAATCACATTTCTGTGAATTATATCTGGAAAGTGTTGATTTATCGATGCCCAGTTGGCACAGAATCAGTGCAACCTGCACTCACTCGCTCCCATGTACACAGAAATGTAAACATCCACTAATGCAGCCATTGGCACAAGACACATGCCGAAGAATGGTCTGTTACTTCCAAAGACAGGATGAGGCCTTAGAAAACCTGGAAGGAGGAGAAAGTAAAGTAGAGAATGGAAACCAGTGCAGGGTCTGTCCTCTGGTGATGAAGAAGCAAAGGTGAAACTCTGTTTTACTTGGATACACACTCTCAAGTGGAAAGCACACATGGGATTGAAGGTGATGTGCTGAGTGTTAGAAGAATGCACAGCAGTTACTTGGCTGACAGAACTCAAGGAAATCAGCACAAAATATCCCCACAACTGTTTCTGAGACCATGATCCGAGCTGCTAAATTTGAGGTAGCAGAGGCTGTGGAAAATGATGGATAGGGCTACGGATGTTGGCACACCCTGAGTCTCAGGGATGTGGGGTGCGTTGTTGGTTCTAGTGGGTCCTATCAAGAGAACAAACCGAACTGTGACTCCACAGAGAAAGCAATGACACTGACACACGTGGTTGAGTTTATTGATAGGTCCCATGATCACATCCACTTCATTTGCAGTACCAAGTAACAATTTGGCATTTTACCAATAGAGCACGTGTAGGGCTCAATCAGGGATATCATGCGTCTGATCTGAGTGATCCAGGGGGCCTTGGGTTTGAAATCAGTATTAAAAGTTTAGGATCTGCTACATTCATAACCTGGAGTGGGATTCCCGTTTGGTTTGAAGCTCAGGATGCGGAACAGCTATGTGGTTGTACAACCATGCCACAAGGATGAGAGAAAAAAGAAGAGTGGTCAAAGTCCACAGAGTGAGAAGTTGAAGCATTTGCTTCAGAATAATCTCCCAAGTACAGATGCTACTTTTGTATGGCACTGACATGGTACTGCACCAAGGACACATAGGTCAGTCAGTGGGATCATTCCACAGGCCCTGATGTATGACATCCATAGATATGTTTCCACTGGTGTTTCTGTAGGCAGAGAAGCTCTGGGAAGAACTGGTAACATTGGGACATTCCCATGGCACTAGAAAGCAAAAGTGCACTATCAGGTTGCAGTTTTGGAAACATTGCAAAATGACATACAGCAGAATTCAGAGCTGAAAACTTTAGAAAGTTCATTTCGACAAGAGGGAATGTCCTGTGTACTTTCAGAATTGTCAGATAAGCATAATAAAAATGAGGTTATACTAATCAAAACAGTATGGTGTGTTCATCACAATAAAGGCAACACCAGGAATTAGAGATATACCAGACAACACACACAGGAACAGGACATGGCATCAATGTGTAGGAAAAATTGTCCTCACAGAAATACCATGGAATTGCGTACAGCCAAGTGTCTAAAATTTTCACTTAACAAAACACTATAAGTCTACATTAGACACCTGAAAGTACTTGAAGAGTAGATATGAAGAAGTATAATAAAAGAAAGAGGAAGTACCATTTTCAGTTCCAAGCAGATTGAAGGCCCAATAAATAAGCTTTCAAACAACTAGAATTCAAAACCCTACAAGAGCATGTATTGAAAATGGAGGTGAAGAAATCACTGAAACACAACAGTATCTCCGAATACAAAAGCAGTATCTCAGAAAAGGGGAAGAGAAATTCTAAAGACGAGACAAATAATATCAGAAAACTCAATGGGTAAGATAATAGTGCTAAATTCAGTCCTAAGCAGATTAGATAATGCAGAGGGACTCGTGAATGACTGTGAAGACAGGGAAACAGAAATCACTCGGTGAGAAGCAGACATAGAAAAGCAAGTGCAAACCAATGCAAACATTGCTGTTGAAACCTGGGGTAAGACAAAGCATGAAAGACTAGGATTTATAAGAGTTCCAGATGGAAAAGCAAGATAGAAAAAAATTCTGAAAATATATTTGCAAAAACATCTGACTGAAACTTGATGAAATCCATGAAAGAATCATCTGTATGAATTCAGGAAGCACAGAGCATCCCAAGGAGTTGGAATCAAAATAGACCTTCAAGCAGCTCTATAATTCAAATTAACAAAGTTCATGATCATCCTAGTGTTTTAAAATGCACCTAGAGGAAAGCAACATAGTCACAACAGAAACTCCAGAGGGGTTTCAGCTGATAGTTTGACAGAAATATTGCAGGATATGGAGGAGTGCCAAGACATAGTCCATAACCTGAATGAGAAAATGTTGCAATATAGGGTAGCCTATGCCTCATGTCCGACAATTCTAATAATGGCAGAGCTAGGGAATATCACAGAAAGGCAAAATTTAAAAGAATTCAGAAGTTTGAAACATATCCTAAAAGAAAGATTGAGAATTCCAGCCTGAATAGGAAAGTAGCAATATGCAATGGAAATATGAAAACCATTATTGGAAATGCAAGAAGTGCATGAGTTGCAAAAAGTAAACAAGAAGAAGGCAAGGAGGACTTCAAGACCCAAAAGATGGGAGAGGGAAGCAATAAATCATAGGTGATTTTAAGCACTATCTTAAGTGAATCAGCTTATATAACTCTCTGTTTTAAGCGAACGGAGAGATGCAACCAACAAGCAAGCAAGCAAGCAAACAAACAAACACCAAAATGGTGTGGTTGGCTAACATATACCAAAGGAAACATGATTATTCAAAAGAAAATACTCAAGGTGATGTCAAGGGTCATTCAGCATGCATCGAACCAGTATCACGGCTTGCATGCACTCAAAACACTTGTATTGAGAAAACAGATGTGTACATAAATATTAATTAATATTGATTCATAAGAGCATATCGTGACCTAACCCAAATGCCGATTTAGAATAAAATGGATTCATAGTCAGTGATATAGACTTGCAAGTCTTCCAACATGATGAATGAATGCCATATTCTACCCTACGTAGAGAAGAAATGGCATAAGCCTATAACAAAGACAAGTAGTTCTGCAAAAGCGTACTAAGAGCAAAAGAGACAGACAGTAAAATGCACATTCGGATTGGTTTCGTTTCTAGGAAATTCAGTCCCAATGAAATAAATGGATCCATGTCCTGAGAGTGTGGGTGTTTCAGCAGAAATCAACTGACGGATATGTATTCTGGGTGAATGGATATTACAGAAACATAAGCTTCCTTTAGTGGGTCTCTGTGTACGGTGAACTGTTAGAAAGTTGAAAGACGTGTGAAACCATAAACTAAAAATTGAAACACTTCCCTCCATTTGTACAGTGCATACAGATCTGAACAAAAGGAATGAGGGAAAAAAAAAGGCCCATGGGACTCTAGTGGATAGAATCACATTTACCTTAGGAAACTCTCTTCTGATGCAGCCACTCCCCCAACACTGACAAGATGCAGCAACCATTGGGGATTGCAGTTACCAGTTGGATTCCAGGTGGAAAGAAGGTATGTACCTTGCAGCTTTTAGTGGCTGGTGGATCCTAGGTAACTGGGCAGAGTTCTGTGGGTGGATCAGTGTGATGGAAGTTCTGCCGCCCTCTGTGGAGCTTGGCTTAGGTCTATTGTTCGGGAAGCTGTGTAAGTTCAAGAAACTGTTGCTGCAAAGAGACCTGAGTCCACGGGTCATTTTCCAGAACCTGAAAGGGAAGACAGTGGAAGATCCGCCTGTCACCAGCTTACTGGTGAGGCTCTGAGGTACTTTCAGACTTGCCCATTCCTGTTGAAGTCGACTCTATGGGAGACACGAAGAGAAGCTGGCAGAAAATCTGGCTGCAAGGATTGAGGAGAGATGCGAACACATTGATGAGAGTTGTTCTGCTACAATGGAGAATACTGGCATGGAGACATCTGTAGAGAATACCAGGCTCGAAAGACATTCATGAGACATATTGAAACTCACTGATACTGGCAGAAACATTCAGAGTGTCAACGTGGACTTGAGGAAGTTACTCAATTCTCTGCTCCAAGAACGGGCCCAAGATCCCTGTCTTCTAAAAGAGAAGAGATGGCAAAGATGATAAAAAAGCTCATGTTCTTGGAAGAGGTCGTGAGAATCCACACGTCCCAAGGGGCATTTCCAAACCATTCAGAACAAAATGCACCAAGCCCAGGTTAGCCTTTTCCCAGGTTTGGGCCCAGCTATTTAGCACTAGCTATTCCCTCCCCACTACTCAGGAATCCATTTTGAAGGATCAGTACCTGAGCTGCAATGAACCCAGTACGAGAAGAGCAGGCCCCTCCTAGAATCTGAGTTCCTCCAACTTCACACTGTGTGAACAACAGTGAACCCCTTAAAGGTCAAATAGTCTCGACTAAAATAGGTAGGAATTGAATACTTAGCTCACACAAAGAAATGGTG